AATTAGCGGATTATGAATTATTTTATACTAAATAGCAAATTAAATAGAAACATTGCAAAAAAAGCATAGAATTGTAATTGCATAATCATATTATGAACTAATTGATGTTCTTAAAACATTTATTATCAAATTATATTTAAAAACATAAAAAAAGTAAAACTTAAAGTTTGTGTCACAAAAACATCAAGTGACCGTTCTCGTCCTAAACCAAAATACTCATTATACGCGGTATTGATGTAATCTCATGATTTTACAGTACTAGTTTTTGCAATTTTAAATGTGATTTTAAGGTTATTCGTTATTTTATAATTACTTTTGTTTGGTTTTTATCTTTGGCGTCTTTGGAGTAACTGTGTTTTATAGTTATAGTTTTTAATTTGAATTTATTTACTTCATCAGGAAGTACATATTGAATTATGCTTAACATTCTTGTTGGTGGAAATAAAGATAACCATGTAGTATACCTATGTTACGCCGCTGACCCACATGCTCAAATTTAAAATTTTACGTCTCTCTCTACGTTGCCTGCCTACCTTAGTCATTACCAACTGTTGTGTCGCCTGATTCACATCGCTAAACCGACCACATTCTAGCGATTATAAAAACATGGGTAAAAACTATCGAAAACGCAAATCGTATTAGAAATACAATAAATTGGAAAAAATGAAGGAATTCAGGTAGGAAAATAATGTTTTTCTTTTTATTTAACTGATTTTTAGCTTGCAGAAGATACACTTTATGTGTAAATTTCTGCATTTAGACGACAAATAAATATACAAAGGATACTACTTTATGTGTTAACGGTGCAGTCATTCATAAAATCCGTCTACAAAACGAAAAATGCTACAGTAGACAAAGAAAAGACAGCTTTTATCACCGGATCTCGATTGTGGCAATTTAATGTGGTTTATTTAGACGACATAATAGTCTTGGGGAAGATATTTGATGAACATCTAAAGAACTTAGAATTTTTTTTTAAAAGACTTCAAGTTGCCCAACTGATGCTAAACCCCAATAAATGCCAGCTATTCCAAAATAAAGTCAATTACCTGGGTCATGTAGTCAGTAAGCATGGCGTGGCTGTAGATAAAGAAAAAGTCGCTTCTATCAAACAGTGGCCACAACCAAAGGACAAACACCAAATAAGAAGTTTTCTTGGGCTTTGTACGTACTACCGAAGATTCATAAAGAAGTTTGCAGATATTGCTAAACCACTAATGCGACTCACATAAGAAGCAAGAGAACTCTGCTGGGATGAAGACTGCCAAACTGCCTTCGAAACTTTAAAGAAGCATTTAACAACAGCGCCAATATTAGGCTACCCGCTACCAGAAGGAGAATTTATCCTGGATACTGATGCTAGTAATGTGGGAATTGGAGGAGTGCTTTCACAGATGCAGGAAGGGAAAGAAATAGTACTAGGTTATTTTAGTAAAGTGCTTTCGAAACCTGAACGAAATTACTGCGTCACAAGAAGAGAACTCCTAGCAGTTGTAAAGTGCGTGGAACACTTCTATATCTGTAAGGAATGAAATTTTTAATCCGGACTGGCCATGCAGCCCTTAAGTGGTTAATGCAATTTAAGAACCCAGAGAATCAAATCGCCAGATGGATTGAACGACTTCAAGAATACGACTTTAAGATCGAACATCGAGCCGAACATCACATCACAGAAATGCCGATTCTCTCTCTAGAAGACCATGTCCAGCAGAGTGCTCCCACTGCAACAAAGCTGAATCCAAAGAAAGTAGGCTACTAAGAATATTATTAATAATAATAATAATAATAATAATAATAATAATAATAATCTTTATTAACCAACAAACGGAAAAGATTACAATAGTTGTTAAAAAAAAGAATTCAATTTAATAAATAGGTTGGTTAAAAGGCGCCTATTCAGCAAAGCTGTTCTTCCATAAGGACCTATCGCAAAGTAAAACCTAAATTTGTAATTATATATTATAATACCCTAAGTAAATAAAAAAAAAATACTTATAAAATAACATCTTATCTTACGACAACATAACCTTTTCTCCTAGATTGTTTTTATAATAATATTTGTTAATAATAACAATATTAATAATAATAATAATGATAAAAAAAAGATGTAACAATAATATTATAAAAAGCTTTCAAAGAATTTTTTTTAGGCTAATACCTACATCTACATCTGCTTATGGCAACATAACCTCTTTTCGTAGATTGATTTTATTATAATATTAATAATATTAATAATAATAACAAAATCGTATTTATAAAACAAGATATAGGAAAGCTTTCAGAGAAGAAGTTTTAACGGATCTGAAGATAATATCTACATTGCTCTTGAAAAATAGTTTTTTTTAAGTAATATTTAAATGAATTTAGAGATTTTCTTCTTATATCAAGTGACAGTTCATTATACAAAGCGGCAATAGTGTATGAAAAAGATCTTGTAAATAAGGCTGTTTTGTGTTTCGGTATTGTTATTGTATGTTTGTAACGTATGTTAATGTTGTGAACGTCTTCTCTATAAGTAATTTTTCTTGTCAAGTAAGGTGGTTTTTTATCAGATATAATTTTGTGAAAAAACGTAAGAGAATGCATTCTACGTCTATTGGCCATATTTAACCAGTTTGCTGTTATAAGCTTATGACAGGCAGAAATTTTGAAAGTCAACTTTTCCGTGGAATCTGTGACAGACTAGGCATGAAGAAAACCAGAACCACAGCATTGCACCCACAATCCGATGGAATGGTAGAGCGAATGAATAAGACCATTGGCAAATATCTGTCAGAAGTGGTTTCAAACCATCAGCAAGATTGGGATCAGTATCTTTCGCTCTTTGCAATGGCTTATAGATCCGCTGTCAATGAAACAACAGGCCAAACACCAGCAAAGGTCTTGTTTGGACGTGAGATGAGACTACTGTGCGACCTCGAGTTTGGATGCCGACCTGGAGAAGATGTATCTGGTGAAGATTACGTAATCCAGTTACGAAGAAGAATGGACAACATGCATGAATTAGTTCGCTCGCATCTCCAAGTCGCCAGTGACAGGATGAAGAAACGGTATGATACTCAAGCTACAGAGGGATGTTTCAAGGAAGGCGAAAAAGTCTGGCTCCATAACCCAAAAAGACAAAAGGATTATTCTCCGAATCTTCAAAGGTCTTGGGAAGGTCCGTACCTCATCAAGAATAAAATAATTGATGTCATTTACCGTATAAGTAAGAACCCGAATGGTAAACCAAGGGTAGTGCACCAAAACAGGCTGGCGCCATTTGAGGGTGACCATGAAAACGAAGTAAACCAACTTCAAGGTGGAAAATCCAGATATAGTGTTACGACCGAGCAACAACAAGATCTGCTCTCGCTTCCGAAAGACTACTCGCTGGTCCATAGTACTTGCGCCAGCATCAACGACGCGCGAGGACTGGCATATGTGTTCCGTAAGAAGTTTGGTCGACTGGTAGAACTTCAATGTCAGTTACCAGCCCCTGGAAAAGTCTTGAAACTTCAAAACGGGTCACGTTATCTTTTTTATTTAATAACGAAGAACACCTTCCAAGATCGATCCACCTATCAGGATGTGTTTAAAGTGTTTAAATAAAATATTAATAAATAAACTGTTGTTTAAAATAAACAAACATCACAGTATATTAGGAAATTTCTAAAAGGGTCATCCTATTTTGCCAAAATGTATTCAAACTTAACATCAAAACACAGTTTTAAAATACTTCAGTAGTTTCTTTCACTTGAAAAACTTAAAACAGCTAAGAGCCAAACTTGTTATGCTTGCAGCCCAACGGGTATAGACTTTCTCAGAAACTAAAGTTGAAAATGTAAAGGTGAAAGCTAACAATATACAAATTTTCATTGACGAAATTCTAAAACTTCGACTCCACAACGTGCCCAGCTTTTATTAATATTTTCATTCCCCCACGAATTACCCCAATTTATGCTCGGCAAAAACAATTTTTATTTTATGGTGAAAAGAAAAAAAAACAAAGTCTCACAGTATCCCCCCAAACTATTGAATGGGTAGCCCAAGCACTTAGTATATAATCTGCGTCAATATCGAAACCATTAGAAAAATTGTAGGACAAAGAGATCAAGGTAGCTATTCTTGAATTCGAGGGAATAGAACACTAGTTTCTCCTCTTTATCTGCAACGCAAAAAATATGTATTTTTGTCTCATTCTTCCCTCAAAATTTCTACTCCCTGAGATTCAAGAATAGATACCCAGTAGTGTTTAACAAGTTTTACAATTAAGACGTAAAACCAACGTTCGCAAAAAGATTAACAAATTATAAAACTGGATTGTTAAAATTTAATATTATTTTTTTTACGTTGGTTAATGAATAACTCATTAGTATTATTATTAATTATTATTGTTAATTTTGTGGGAAATTTATAGTAATATTTTTTTGCATATTTTATTGTAACATTTACGTAGAAAGCAAAAATCTAGTTTTATTTTGAATAGAACATCCTTTAAACAACTACATGGTT